CGAACGGAAGACAGCGCAGGGCGTGAGGTTGAGCAGGGTGGGGGTGTGGGGGCCAGGGGTGGGGGTTCGGGATCCCCACACCGGAAGTTGGGGGGTCACACCCCCACCCCGGCTTGGGCCTTGGGGATCCCCGCGTGACATTACTACTGTCCGCAGAATCATGTGTACTGGTGGTTTAAACCGGCGCTACGAGGGCCTCATTTCACATTGTGGGGTACCCAATTGTTTCGGAGGCCGAAACAAAATGGCGCCCTCCGATGAGAATTATCAACGGCGGCCGCCGTCGGGCCCCGAATTCTTCAGACCGTAAGGCTGCATAAGCCCTGCTTTGTCAGCGCACACAGGCGTCAAGAAAAGAAAACCCGTGACTGACATCACGTCTCACTACCAGACTTCCCCCAAAACAATGCCTCCTGAATGTAATTGTATGGGACGGCACTGATGGACTATATACATTCATGATTAGGGTGTCTTGTCTTTGTACGAAGACAGCTGGCAGTAGTGTTGCGAAAGTCAGAAACTTTCGAAAGAGGGTGACCGGGCATCCATTTCGAGCCGGGGTGACCTTGGTTTCAGTTTGGATTTCAGGTAGAGAGAGGGAGAGTGTAGTCGGGGTCGTTGCAGCAATGGGAGGGTCTCATGTAGATGCTGGCTTGGTTGGGTACGGTTGCAATTTCTCTGGGTACCTGGGTGGGTTGGGCCGGGGCTGGAAAATCTGGAGGAAAACAGTTTTGTGCTGAGTAAAGTTGGAGAAAATTTTGAAAAGTGGGTCTGGATTGGGTATGGCTGGATAAAGTTTTGAAGAGCAGGTTTGGGTCACCGGGGTCGGGTCGGGGTGGCAAGGAAGGTAAGGTTTGAAAGCTGTGTGGGGACCTTGTGGAGAGTCTGTCAGTAGTAGGTTCAAAAAAGGACAATACTTGTTGAAACAATAATACAATATTGATGAGAATTAATGAACAACAACATTGATGTTGTGTATGTTACCATCACATAAAAGAGACATCTTTTTTTTGTTTTTTTTTTTTTTTTGTTTTTTTTTTTAGCACCTGGGGAGCAGCTCCATCTATTGGTGGGGAGCATCACCTGCTGGAAAACGGGTCCAGCGTCCCATATAAAAGAGACATCTTGAGTTAGATTTCTGTGAATATGTTTTGCCTAAAGTAAATGAATACGAAAATTTAATTAGTCAAAGAGCCTGGAGGAGCTGATAAGAAACCCGAGAAAAGCCGGCCCGTGGGAGCCTGTAGCTCGTTGAGTTATGAGCGTCTTTGAAAAGAAGGGCTGAAGGCTAAGCCGTACTTCGAGAAATTGTGCCACTAGACTTCATATTCTATCGGCTAGTGCTCTAGGTCCGATGACTCCAATCAGGAAGTCGTCCGCATAGCGAACATAATGAATCCTGATTATTCACTAGCTCTTAGCCTACCAGTAAATTTAAGAAAACTCAGAATATTCTAGGAATATAAATTCAACAAATAATCATTCATATGAATTCATTATAATGTTGTTGATACAATCTATGAATATATAATTTAGACTCATGTTTCATTTATAATTCATAAGAAAGGATCTTTTATACATATAAAGATCCAACAGTCCTTTGAACAATTCGTCCGCAGAAATGGTGCTGCTTTTACTGATCCTTCGTGTCGGTGATCTCCAGGGCGGAGTGCACCGTGCTGAGAATGGGTGTCTAATGTCGGTGATGGTTCATGAGGCTGCCGAGTTCCGGTTGTGAAATGCTGGCTGTGCCTGTGATGAATATGGCAGTGGCTGTAATGGCACTTGGAGCAGGAGAGTGTGCAGCTCTCTGTGTGGGTGAAGGAGCGAACTGAGGGAACTTGGAGCGAGATCTGTAATCAGCACTTTATCAGTGACAACAGACGGTTTATCCTTCTAGAAGACTTCATGCTCACCTCGAGGAGCTGATGGTGGCCTAGTACGTACCAATGACTGAGACAAGTGCTCTTCTGGACGAGGACTCTGGGGGGGGTCTTGCAGTAGGGGCTGTCTTAGGGATAAATAATAGTGGGATAGCCTACATTGACAAATAGACCAGAGTGATCTAGTTGATGATGAAGGACGGTGACCTAGTACGTACTGATGATGGAAACTGGGGCTGCTCTGGCGCAATATAGCAGCTGGCGGGTTAGTTGATGAAGGAGGTAAGGGGAGGATGGTGGCCGTAGACCCACCAACGACCGAGACTAGGGTACCTCCAGATGGCCTTTTTTTTTTTTGTTTTTTTTTTTTGTTTTGTTTTTTTTGTTTTGTTTTGTAAACACACCCATCGGTGCTAGTGGTGCTGGTAAGAGCAGACACCGCTGGCACCTGGGGAGGGCTCCATCTATTGGTGGGGAGCAGCACCTGCTGGAAACCGGGTCCAGGGTCCCTTACATAGACAGAGTTCAAATCACATAGAATCGCATCAGGGAAAAAGTGTGGTGCATTCCTGCCAGCTCCAGATGGCTTACAACCAACACCGATCAGAATAACAATAGTACAACCACGGTGATGTGACCAAAAAAGGGTCTAGGGGGACATCTTTAAGTAGAGGGGCGGATGGTGGCCATACATCTACTGATAATAGGTTAGAACCTCTAGGTTGCAATTACAAAAACAGTGCCACATATAATGAACACACAATACAACAACTTCCAAGGACAACAAGGAAAAAAAATGCCTTGGGGACAGGAGTGGATCCAGTTATGGGACTTGTGGAATAACTGCTACACTTAGCGCTCAAAGTTCCCGTATGGCAGGGCTCGTCCCACGGTGCTTCAATCAGGGGCTGAGCTGGGTAGGTCCTGCTCAGCCCTGGTGCCTACGGCCACTGTCTGGTCAGGTCATCCTTGTACAGATGATGGGTGGGTGAAACACTGAAGTGGGATTGTGGGAGTAAGGGCGCCCTAGGGAGAAAATAAAGAGAGTGGGGGGGAGGGAGTCGCATAAGGAATAGGGACCTCTACAGACAATCTGGATTAACCAAATGGCCGGCTACTGAAGGTGCCTGTCATATGTCTAGCATCAAACCTCCAGAACAACCTTGACTTTTTTGTTAAAAAAAAAAGACAGAGAGAAAAAAAAAAGAAGGAGACCACGCACAAAGATGTGAACTGATTGAAAATTTCACGACTACCTTTGCTCACAGCAAACTGGGCACAATATAGATCGTAGTCAAAGTCGCCTGAAGGCGCCGAAATGTCAACAACAGGTATTATCTCATGAGCAACAAAATCGTAAGTTTGCAGTGTCGCGAATTTCTCCGCGCCATCGCCCACTCAGCTCGTGAATTTCTCCATGCCATCGCCCACTCAGCTTGCAAATTTCTCCATGCTATCGCCCACTCAGCTCATCTTCCCTCAAGCTTCATCCCCACACTTTCCCTATCGATCCTCCAAACCGAACAAGCGTAAGTAAGCAACCGACTCGTCATGAAGGCGAGCCAGCCCCTACCATGCATACTGTTGTCAAAGAGGCTGAATACTACTGTCCCTTGCATCCATATACTACTATTCTTTGACAAGTCCCCGCTCACCTCCTAATTCCGCTTCAAAGTTACGATTCGACAGTGACCCGGCTCCTTACCCAAAATATGACTAGGTGCAGAAGGGACAAATGCTACAAACAAGCACTACAAAACAAAGGTACCAATGGGTTCAAACTTGTCCACATTCAATTCGGGAGGAACTCCCTAGAGAACTACGACAGGCGCAGTAGTTGCGCCACCAATTTCCAGACGTTCTCTTCTTGCCGCTCAAATCCTCCAGCACTTCCTGGAACAAATAGTCCGGGAAGCCTTTTGCCCGGAACTCACGACGCACAAGCAGCTCCTCGACGGGAATGCGGCCCCGGTCAGTGCTATTTTGGTCAAGGCTGTGCTGGAAGAAATAGCCCGGGAAGCCTTTTGCCCGGAACTCACGACGCACAAGCAGCACCTGGACGGGAATGCGGCCCCGGTCGGTGCTATTTTGGTCAAGGCCGTGCTGGAAGAAATAGCCCGGGAAGCCTTTTGCCCGGAATCACGACGCACAAGCAACACCTGGACGGGAAAGCGGCCCCGGTCAGTGCTATTTTGGTCAAGGCCGTGCTGGAAGAAATAGTCTGGGAAGCCTTTTGCCCGGAACTCACAATGCACAAGCAGCACCTGGACGGGAATGAGGCCCCGGTCCGTGCTATTTTGGTCATTTTGGTCAAGGCCGTGAAGACACCCTGTGACTGCTGCAACCTTACGCTTCCTACTGGTCCAGGACTTGAAGTCCTGCCCCGTTCTGATCGCTAAGGGCTTGTCCTGCCAAAGGGTGGCCTCGTTGTTGACCTTTTGCAGACTCCCCAGGTAGGGAGAGGCCTGTCTCACTTTTAGTCTGCAGCCCAGGAAGTCCCAGGTACCCTTCCCGTCACCAGTTTGCCTTAGGGTGAGATTCCTGGGGTAGCATCCCTGAAAAATGGCCTGAATCCTGACCGCCTTTTTTCGTGACTCTCGGTTCCCTTTCTTGGAAGCCACGAACAATGACACATCATCAACCAGACGAATACCCACCACCAGCTTACAGTCATTCCCCAGAGAGGCTAGAAATCGCCACTCTGCAAATGCACACATGATGCATGTGCATGGCGGGATCGTGCTTTTACCCATCGGCACCCCAACTCTCTGCCTCAGAAGCAACCCAGATGCCCTGATTACCGTGTGCTCCAAATCAGAAGTTCACAAAACTCCATATCTCCCTCAGACTCACTGCCCACCATTTCTCACTTCCCCTCCTGTCAAACACAGCTCCCTTTTTTTTTTTTTTTTTTTTTTTTTTTGCAAAAAACAACCCGAGCTAACGCTAGAGGTGCTGATAAGAGCAGACACCTCTAGCGCCGTCGGGGAGGCTCCATCTATTGGTGGGGAGCAACACCTGCTGGAAAGCGGGTCCAGCGTCCCTTGACATGGTAATCATTCAATCATGTAAAAAAGTTTGTGGAGATTTGTAGTATGTGTGCGTAACAAGATCTGTGATGATGAGCAGCATTGATTGCCCTCCGAGGAGGGGATTAACTGCTCATCGACCGTACTTTCATTACCCTATCCTGCCCCGCCCATCCGTCAAAACATGAACCATTCAACTCATCACACTGGGGGGAAGCGGAACAGGAACAGGAACCTAGATTAGCGACCCCATCCCTACTGCTGATCGTCCTCGTTAAGCCATCTGGAAACCACGCATCCTACTCAATGTAACAATCATCCATCGCGACCCTGGCAGCCGGCGGAAACCCTAACCAAACCCCTTACTGCCCGAGGGACCACCACCACCCCTTCGTGCGTGAAATTGAGGACCGGGCAACTCCCTACCCCACGAACTACTCCACGCCCGTCCGCTGCCACACAGCAGCTCCGAACGCCCCCCTACTTCCGCGGTCAATCTCCTTATCCTCCATAGCCTCGTCGCCCTGATCGCTGATTTTATTTCCACAGTTTTCGTTCGTCATCCCAAGAAAGCTGTAATCGAAATCTTCAATATCTTCGTTGTAATTAATATCTTCACACTGATTGTTGTCATTGTTGATGTCGTTGTTCTTGTTGTTGTCGATGTCGTTGTTGATGTTATCACCACCACCGCCACTATTGTTGATGTCATTGTTATCATTATCAATGCAGACGTTGTAGGTGTTAAGGACGTTATTGCCGCCACTAATGATGTCGTTGTTGTCTTTGTCATTGCACCCATTGTCGATGTAGCTGCTGTTGTTGTCACAGAATTCATCAATTGTTGTCGCAGGCAGTGTCGGCGTCAATCCGTCGGAGCTGCCCAGCAGTCTCTCCTCCAGAGTATCGTAGCAATCCTGCCCCCTCCTGAAGATGTCGTAGCACCCATGCATAAGCAGGCCAGCTCGATGCCAATCCACAAACTCATCGAGTGGAGGAGCCGGCCCCTCCTCCAACTCCCAAATGATATCGAGCATGGCCTGCATCTTCTCCTCAAGCCATGGCGCCAGTAAAACCGTCCCCCCTACAGTCCCCAACCGACCCCCCTGGCTTGAAAGCAGAGTATCCACGACCTCTTGCATGCGACGGCCGCCGTCTTCGATAATCTGCAACCACTCCGCTGCTCCCTGCCGCAAGTCTTCATCAGTATCCATGCCGTTTGTGTCGTTCCTGAAAACCCGCCGTCTGATCTCACAAAGCAGACGCTTCACGCTAACGTACCGTCTCCTAGTGTACGTGGCAGACTATCCACCATCGCCTGAACAACTGGCCAGGCGGACACCTCAGTGACCAGGAACAGCAACTGTCCCAGGCGCAGGTCAGCGCTAAGCGTCAACGCGTGGAATTCCTCGCGGATTGACACGTACCACCTTTCTCGCTTTCACCTTGTGTAACCCAATCACCCATTCAACTGCCCTTATGATATCTTCATGGGGAAGTTTGGTTCATATCCTTCACATCATAGGATGCTGATAGGATTCCAGTTCCCTTCCCCAAGCCTCCAAAGCTCGTGTTGGCTTTCGTCAGTCTGCTCACCAGTTTCAACACCGCCTGAAGGTTGAGTGCTCCCCTTCAGGTACCTTACTCAAACCGGCAGTACCTCGCCTCATATCGGCCGCGGGCCCGGAATTCAACTGTGCGCCACTGTTTCGCGGATGTATGTGGTGCAGGCCGCCCACCATCTCGCCACTTTCCCCATCTCTGAGTTAACCGCCACACTATTTTTTTTCAAGCGGGCAAAGGTACTGGCAGTTTAAGAACAGATTCAAAGCCCTTCGCCATTCACTTGCTCACCAAATTGGTAGGCTCACTAAATGTTGGGCAACTAGGGCGGAACAAAGATCAATCCTTCTGCTTTGGAATCATGTAGCTCCGCCCGGCTTTCTCTGCTGTCTTCCACGTCTCCAAGTGCCCAACGCCCTGATCAATAAAATCCTCTGCACTTTCCGTCCAATACTCCTCAAGCTTCCAGACAAACCCAAATCCCGCACTGAGGCAACTGCGCCTGTGACCGCTGCACAGTTCAGAATTCGCAGAAATAACAGTTCACTGCAAGCTTGGGCGAAGACCAGTTAGAAACTGCACAAAAAACAGTAAATGATGCGTTCGACGGCCTACCGGTTCAATAATTGGCAAAAACGGGAGGTGGCACCTGGCCTGGGAGCAATCACCGGTCGCAGGCCCTCCTGTTTTTGGTTTGTTTCCCCAGGGGTGTGGCCTAGGCATCTCGGCCGTGGCCCAGCCACGGGCGTGGCCTAGACATCTCGGCCGTGGCCCAGCCACGGGCGTGGCCTAGACATCGCGACTGTGGCCCAGCCATGGGCGTGGCCAAGAGATCTTGGCCATGGCCCAGCCACGGGTGTGGCCTAGACAGCTAGGCGTGGTGTAAGCAGGAGGGGAAAAAAAGAAAAAAAAAAAATGGCGCAGGCACGAAAAAAAGAAGAAGTCGTAGGCGCGGAAAAAAAAGAAGAAAAAGTCGCACGCGCGCAGAAAAAAAAAGCCCCAGGCGCGGGAGAAAAAAAGGTCGCAGGCGCGGAAAAAAAAGCCGCAGGCGCAAAAAACAAAACAAAAAAGTCGCAGTCACCGGAAAAAATAAACACACACACACACGAGTGGCCGCCTGATTTTACCACTTCCGAACTTCCAACGGCTAGAAGTGCACAAAGCTGTTCTGTTTTTGTTTTTGCAGTTTCTAACTGCCCTCCGTCGGGCCATAACCGCAGTGCCCTGTTGGTTATTCCTTCCTGCGAAAGAATTCGGAACTGTGCAGCGGTCAGTCACCCGCGCAGTTATTTCTCTTCTCCCGCATTTCAAACAAATAAGTTCTGCATTCCCTCATAATATGTGTAAGGGCACATGATCACGGTTTCGCTTGGATTTTGATCAACTGGTGTGAAGACCAAATCTTGGCAAGCCTTCATCCTCATAACTTCCCCTCATAATATGTATGAGGGCACATGATCACGGTTTTGCCTGGATTTCGATAGACTGGTGTGAAGACCAAACCTTGGTAAGTCTTCTTCGCCCTCGTAACTTCCTCAATTTGCAGTTCGTCCTTTTTTTTGTTTTTTTGTTTTTGTTTTTGGCACAAACTGGGTTAGGGTTGCTAATCATTTCCATCGTGGATCGTCGTATCCTGGACTGAGTAGCCACTTGGAGTCTGCAGTACTGTTTTTTTGATATTTTTGGGTGTGTAAGCCCGTATACCTTTCTGTGGTATCTTCGATTGGGTTTGTTTTCAGGCCCTGCCAGGGTGGCGTGGGCCCTCTGATCTTAAGATGAACATCTGACTGACACGGTGAGCCTAGGAATTTTTCGGGCCGTAGTGGGTTTGGACCCAGGTAGTGGATTAGGACACCCGGACCAGGTCGGTATCTGACCCGCTATCGGGTGGCATGTTTTGGACTCGTTACCATACATATGTAGACTATATAGTGTGTGAGTGCGATGGACTTGACCTCTTACGGAACGCTCACTGCCGTCAGCGGCAGTGATCGCTGGGAACGTGGATGGACCGGTGGACTTGGGGTTGCGGAATGATAACGCTGCCGTAATTTTGAGAGTTTTGTTGTTCTTACACACTTGCTGTCCAGTCACTCGCTTCAGCGTGTTTGACTTGACTTTCTCACGCATATTTGTGATGTGATATGATGCTATCTACTGCACGTGTGAACGATCCCGGAGTCAAGTGGCTGGGATAAGTGAGCACGAGTTACTTGGTAACAATTTGTTTGTTTCGCTAGCGTTATGACGAGGAGTGTGCCTCCATTTGATGTGTTGCTCTGCTTACAAGGGTTACTACGCGACACTGGTGTTATGCTTCGTTGCTACGCGGACATCGCCTGCACATCGTTAACAAGACGGACCTTCGTGGTTTGACTCCGGTGTGATGGCGGGCCACGGCGATAACTGTGATTTTGGCGGTGGTGGCCGCAATCTCGGTGGAGGTGGACGCGAGTATGGAGGGCATCGTGATTATGAAAGAGGAGGATACCGCGGATACGGGAGCGATCGAGGGGATAGTGGAGACAGGGGACATGATGGAGACCGTAGGGCTGGAGGCGAGCGGAGCTTCGATCGGGGCCTTCGGAGAGGTCCTTTGATTTGCTTCAATTGCGACGAGCCGGACCACTATGCCAATCAGTGCCCACATCTGAGACGGAACGGGCACCTGCCGACGTGGACTAACCGGGGGGGGTCCAGTCCTCCGAGTAGACCAAGCCTTAGCAGGTGGCAACAGTCAGACCCGTTGGAATCGAAGGTAGCTGAGATTGGGAAGAGTGTCGCTGCAGTGTGCCGATTCGTAGAATTGGAGCAGCAGAAGAATGCGGCTAAGGAGCGCAGGAAAGCTGAGAGGAAAGAAGCTGAGGAACGGGCTGAGGCAGAACGAGCGGCAACCTTACTTAGCAAGCAGAAGAAGGAGGAGAAAGCTCGTAAGGAAGCCGAGATCAAGGAAGAACTGCACAAGAGTTTGGATGTCAGGATGGTTGTACGGGTTGGTGAATTACGGGACGACGTACGTGAGGACGTCCGACAGGAGATTCGTGAGGCGATAGGAGAATTGTGCTTGGCGGTATCTCGCGGCAAGCAGAAGAAAGTGGACCCCGCGGTGCCGGCGGAGGGGAGCAGCGCTAGCAGCAGTGAGGCGGAGGAGTTGAACCTGCTGACCCGGAGATTGAGTATCTCTGAGAAGAGAAACCGTGGACCGGAGGTAGTGTTTGAAGGCAGCCCCCCAATGGAGGTGCCACCTAAGCGCACGCCGAAACGGGGGTTGCGACCGACCAGGATCTCAGGGAGGTTAACGAGGTCCAAAGCGCGTATGCAGAAGACCATCACACCAAGGAAGATGTCGCCGTCCATTCGTAAAAATATTCCCGCAGCCATCGGGATTGTCGGAAGACTGAAGTTTGAGAAACGAGTGTTGAGTGACCTCAAGAACCTGGATGCTCTTGTCCTGCAGAATATCTGCAAGGATGAGGGCATACCATATAATGGTAAGTTTGAAGCCATATTTGATATTGCAGCACATCGTACACACGTGGCGTATGGTACAAACGATGACGAAGATACGACCGAGACACCGGTGGTGTGCACCGAGGTACCCGCCGAGGCTGAGGAAGTCGATGAAAATGCTTGATGCATTTTCAGTATTGCTGACTTGTGGTGTATCGTTCACTGCCTTACGAACTTGCGTTCTTTACTAGATGTTGTCGATGCTCGAATTGAGGAACTATTAAGGCTTGCGGTTGTAAATCTCTCACTTTACGGAGAGATCCGTTGGACGCGCAAATGTGTTGATGCTTGGGTTCGACTTTTAGAGAATTTTGGACCTGATTTCGTTAACATTAAGTCGAGTGTGTACGTAGCGGTTTCGCCCTACTGCAAGTCGCAGTACGTTGGGAAGACATCTAGACATATGGATGTCCGCTGGCGTGAGCATATCTATGCGTCTTAGAATCGTTCCCCGAATCACTTCTACCGTTGGTTAGGGGTGCTTTGGCATTGAGAACTATGTTTTGGTTCCCGTTGACACAATTATCAACAATGAGTTGACGAAATTGGAGGGTGTATATATCCGTCAATGGTCGCCGTTCCTGAATACGTCTGGGGTGCGGAAGAGTCATTGCCGTAATAATAAGGGTAGGGCCCGCGGTAGAAAGGAACACAGTCATCTTGGAAAGTCCACCCATGACATCCAGCGGGTCATAGCACCTATTTGTTTCCGTCTGATTGGGTCAATTGATTGGCGCCTGGATTTATTTGAACTATTGAAGGAGCAGGAGGCAGCCGGTACTCATGGTGCTGATATTTGTGTGAGTGGGTGGAATACGTGACAGTCACCATGTAAGAGCATAGTTAGGAAGTTTGGCTCTACCAAGGTGGTGCGTGATTCCGAATCTCATCTGCTTAAAGACTGTAAGACATGGTTCGAGTGTGGGGGAATGTTGAGGATTGAGTATATTGTATCATGGAAGCCCAAGTGTCGCTTTTTGAAAGGCTTGTTGTTATCTCTCTTGAAGAATGTGCGTGTCACAGATAGAATCGAGAAGTGGGATATGCGATCTTTGCTTCGATTGTATAGTGCTATTAAGGACTTCTCTAAGAAGTCAACGAGGAAGTATCTTCGCAGGCTGATTTCTCGCATTTTTCTCAACAAATTTGGTCTCAGTTTGAGCGCTGACTTATTGATCAAAGTCAAATTCGATAATAGGATTAGCGTTTGTGCTTTACGTAAGGTAGTTAACGACATTTTGATGAAATGTGACTTACCCCTCTGCTTCCTACGAAGGGCTCGAAGGAAGACTCGGATCGTCCAGACGAAAAATCAGACGGTTGGCGAGTTGTTGCACAACCACAGGGAATACAGTACCTGTAACGTGCTGACCTGTCATTGCACAGGACTACCCTATCCGCGTGTGGATGGGCACGTGCACTTCTGTTTGAAGAAATAGTTCGTCGACCATCAACTGTTGACCAATGCGAATAACATTCCGCTTGCCCATAGGACTGATCGACTGTCGTCGTTACGTTCTGAAGTTGAACTTGGCTTTGGGAACTGGAGGAACCTCCGAGGGAGCCTACCTCGAATACCGCTGGAGATCTTGTCATCTTGTATGACCTCACCCTGCGAGGTAGGAGGCTCTCGCTTGTATATTCGTGATGTCGTGAGATTGAAACATCGGTTTGAGGGGCTGGTTCTGACTCCCTTGGATCGGAACCCGGGGAAGACTGTTGTGATGTGCCCTCAAATCTATTATGAGGCAATGATGAATACTTTTGTCAGGAATCCCGGTTACACGATTGTTCCTAGTCCGGAATCTGTTGCACTTCGGGAAGTCAGGGAGGACATGAAGGTTGCTGGGTTACAAAAGTTTGTTCGTTGGGACAACTTCGGATCTGTAGGCAAAGCCTATGTCATTCCGAAACATAAGGACATGACTAGGTATCGCCCTATCTGCCCTACCTATAGCGAACCTATGGTTCGTACTGGGAGGGTGGTTGCCAAGGGACTTAATTTTCTATTGTCAAGGATGCCGACTGGTAGTCATTTCAACCTTCTGGCTGTTTCGAAACTGACGACGAAACTGGAGCAGGCGAATTTTAGGATACAACGGCTTGGATGTAGAGCTAACCTTACCGCACATTCTTACGATATTAAATACATGTTTAGTAGATTACCTCATCACGATATCTTGAGGGCGTTGCAATGGGTAATTGATCATCATTCGAGGAAGGGGAGGGCGTGGTGCTTCTTTCGGTATCACTACTGGAGCTGATCATTGGAGGATGATAAGGTTGGAAGACTTACAAAAAATTGTGATCATTGATTTACAGCACACGTACACCTACGCCACGACTGTTTTGCTCAGACAGGATATCGGGATACCGATGGGAAAGAGCACAAACCCTCCCTTGGCGTGCATTTTGTGTGCGTATGCTGAGAGTTTGTTCCTGCATAGTCTAGGACGTTATGCTCGCTGTGTGATTGGCATTTGGTTAGCTGATGATGTGATGTTGGTAATTGCATCTCTCTCCGGTGAGACCTTGGAATGGGTGCTTCAATGTTTCTCAAAGTGCTACCCCCGGAATCTCACATTGAAGCAAACAGATACAGGGAATGGTTGCTTGGACTTTCTGGGATGTGAGGTTAGGTGTTCCAACACTTACCCTTACCTTGGAAGTGTTCACTTGTCTCGTAATGAGACTAGCCTGTGGTCATCTGAGGATCTGGAATTTCAGACCGGACAGTCGTTTCTCTCATGGGGAAGCAAAGCGCTGCTATCGGTAGCTACCTGCACCGAATTGATCAGAACACCTCGGTTAGAAGTGAAATCCCCGGGCGTGTTCTGTCATTGAGACGGGAATTAAGAATGAAGGATGTTCCAACGAGTTTCTTTGAGAGAACGTTGCGAAAATTTGCTTTTCGGCGGGGTGCGATTTGGAAACAGACGGTGGATTTAGTGACGGGTTGGTAAATATTTGGACAGGGTTGCTAATCATTTCCATCGTGGATTGTCGTATCTTGGATTGAGTAGCCACTTGGTGTCTGCAGTACTGTTTTTTTGATATTTTTGATATTTTTGGGTTTGTAAGCTCGCATACATTTCTGTGGTATCTTCAATTGGGTTTGTTTTCAGGTCCTGCCAGGGTGGCGTGGGCCCTCTGATCTTAAGATGAACATCTAACTGACAAGGTGAGCCTAGGAATTTTTCGGGCCGTGGTGGGTTTGGACCCAGGTAGTGGATTAGGACACCCGGACCAGGTCGGTATCTGACCCGCTATCGGGTGGCATGTTTTGGACTTGTTACCATACAAATGTAGACTATATAGTGTGTGAGTGCGATGGACTTGACCTCTTACGGAACGCTCACTGCCGTCTGCGGCAGTGATCGTTGGGAACGTGGATGGACCGGTGGACTTGGGGTTGCGGAATGATAACGCTGCCGTAATTTTTGAGAGTTTTGTTGTTCTTACAGACTTGCTGTCCAGTCACTCGCTTCAATGTGTTTGACTTGACTTTCTCACGCATATTTGTGATGTGATATGATGCTATGCTACAAATGGGGAACCGCGCCCAGCGTCCCATAACGAGTCCCTCACGTTAAGACACGCGGCTGCCTCTTCCATTTCCACATACATCTTTGTCTCTCTCCCCAGTCTCCAGTTCATAAATCCCTCCTCGACTTCATCCTTCAACCGTCTCACCTTCCCTTCAAGTTGTTCGACCCCCAAGGTACGTTCTTTGCATTCGTCGTCAGAGTTCGAATATTAGCCAAGTCCATTTCTCGATTTATGCGTGTCATCCTTCATTGCGCAAGGGCCATTTGCTAATTTACCCTTCTCTGGATCGTTCCAATTTTAACGGATGTCCCGAAGGACAATATTAGCCAAGTCACCCATCTGACATCAAACATGCCATCAAGATGGTGCAAGCCAAAGCCTGCAGGCCCTGCACATTTACAGGCCGCAACCTCCCGCGATGAATATTCCCCGTGATTGTGCGGTAAGTCACCAACATTCGGGTTTTTTGCCCAAATGATGCGTGCCTTACGCTGAAGCGTCTCGCTGACGCATGGGTGTAATCCT